TGCGGGCTGGGGGAGGCTGCCGACGTCTGTGGACTCCTAAGGTCGTTTCCTCTGGCCAGAGGGGAGGCACAGAGTCCAGAGAGGGACGCCTCATTCCGCTCCCGCTCTAAGAAGGATCCGGATTGCAGCACAGAAATAGGAGTCCCGATGGGTAGGGCCAGGTTTCTGCCACTCGGGAGGCCAGCTTAACCAGTCGGTTCCGGGCGGAAGCTGGCCGGGACAGTGGGAGCTCGGGCTCCGAGTGGCAGGGGCGGCCGACGAGGATCCTGCACCCATCCAGGCGGTTGACGCCTGCGGGTGGGTTTTGAGGACAGGACGACCCTGGTGAAAGCTGAGGGAGAAGGTTGGGAGAGGGCCTTGGATCCCGCTGTGCGGAGCCGGCTGTAGCTCAGAGCCCTCATTCTGGTCAGTGGCAATGGAGCTGAGCCAGCAGCCAGCAGGCCGGTTTATATGGGCAAGTCTAGCCTCCACCTACCCACGCCCCCAGCTCAGCGAACCCTTCCCCCAAATCTTCCCTGATATCGACTGAGAACAACCTGCCTCCTGCTGGGACTGGAGGGTAGGTGCATTCACCCTTCATCTCTCCTCTTGGGTAATAATCCCAGAAGCCTAGGGTTTCCTAAACTGAGCAGCAGGTGCTTGGATGGTGCCCAGTCTCCGCCAGAAGCAGGCTTGGCGGGCTCTCAAGTCAACCACTGAGTGCCATGGACCGCTCAGTTGCACCTGTCCCAAGCACTGTTTGACCCGCCCAGGGCTGGAAGGATTAGGAACCCTGGGCTCTGGTCTCCACGCCTGAGTCCTCTCCCTATGCCTCTTCTCTCAGGTGCTGTCATTAATCCAGACCATTAAAGAGCTGCTGGATCTGAATGGTCATGGGGGAGGCCAGTAGAGAGGAGTATAAAATCCAGTCTTTTGATGCCGAGACCCAACAGCTTCTGAAGACAGCACTCAAAGGTGAGCATGAGATTCCACCTGAGCTGGGGCAGGAGCTGCAGAGAAGGGGCTGAGCCCTAAGGCCAGGGAATGTTCATCCCTCTCCCTTCACTTTCTGAGGAGTCACAATCTAACTCTTGAACTGGACGATAAGCTACAATAAGGCTGATATTTGGGAGAATGGTTCAGAACCCTCTCTCAGACTGTAAAGCTTTATTTATTCATTTATTTATTTATTTTGAAATACCCATGAAAGAGGAGAGCAGTTCCTGTCTTTTAATCCTTTGTATTTGATTTGCTGGGTTCTGCATTGCTGAAGCCCACTCTTGCTTATATGGGGCTACCTGACTTGGATAGAGAATGGAAAACATTGATTTGCAGAGGAGATAATTACTGTGTCCCAAAGCTTTCCTTCTATAGCAATCAGTACAAAATGGTGACCCATCTTCCAATTAGCAGTGCCCATCACATGCCAGGCTAAGCCTGTGGAAAAGACCTGCATACCTACTTATCAGGAGCTGTGTGTGAATCATAGAACTTCCCCCCACCCCCAGTACTGATTAACCCAAGGGCACCCTACCACTGAGCTACATCCCCAGCCCTATTCTTAGATTTTAAGACAGGTGCTAAGTTGCCCAGGATCAAACGTATGATCCTCCTGCCTTACCTCTGAGTAGCTGGGATTACAGGTGTGCATCACTGCTACATCTGGTTAAAATTTCTTCTGTGAAATTGATGTAGACAGCTTAGTATAGTGTTCCTTTCTCAACCTAGTGCCATGAAGACATGTGTCCTAAGAAGTTTTTGCTTTGTTTGGTCTCTACCAGCCACGTAACTCCCTGTTTTCTCTCTTTGGGCAACCAGGGGTCTTATAGCTGGAGCTGCTTCTATGAGTGGTTACTTACCCCCTTCTGTAGGTATTCTCCTTTGTGGTGCTTGGGGTCAAAGCTAAGGCCTTATGTATACTAGGGAAGTTCTATATAACTGAGCTTCCCCTCAGCCTCTTCTTCATCTCTCTAAATTTAAGCATATAATGTGAATACCCTAAATATCTCAAATTCCTCTTGGGAGCAGATGGAGGCAAATGTGATCAGCAGGCAGCTCTAGACTCCCCTCCTATCTTTACCTAGATCCAGGCGCTGTGGACTTGGAGAAAGTGGCCAATGTGATTGTGGACCATTCTCTGCAGGACTGTGTGTTCAGCAAGGAAGCAGGACGCATGTGCTACGCCATCATTCAGGTTGGGGGGTTGGCAGAGGAAAGGGAGCTGCTTTGAGGAAGACTACTCAGTAGTGGGAAGAGGCTGCCAGCAGGACAGAGATACGAAGAGCATTAGCTCAATGGCAGGGAGAAGTATAGGATAGGTGGGGTGACCACATCACTACCCCTGCCCCTCACCAGCCTCTCCCTGGCTCACAGGCAGAGAGTAAACAAGCAGGCCAGAGTGTCTTCCGTCGTGGACTCCTCAACCGGCTGCAGCAGGAGTACCAAGCCCGGGAGCAGCTGAGGGCACGCTCCCTGCAGGGCTGGGTCTGCTATGTCACCTTTATCTGCAACATCTTTGACTACCTGAGGGTGAGGCCCCAGCCACCCTGTGAGGCAGAGATGGCTGCCACTCTGTCCCCTCCTTTTTCTCCACAGGTGAACAATATGCCCATGATGGCCCTGGTGAACCCTGTCTATGACTGCCTCTTCCGGCTGGCCCAGCCTGACAGTCTGAGCAAAGAGGAGGAGGTGGGTAGCCCTGGCACAGAAGGCTGTAGAGGGTTTGGAGGGCATCACTTCTGGGTAGCAGCCTGGTGGGGACATTTAAGGCCTGTTATAGTTACATGACAAGCTGCTGGGTCTGGAATTTATCCAGGACTGACAGCAGCCAAGACTGACTGGTTCAGCAGCTTCTCCCCAGCAGGAAAACCAAGCTATGATAGGAATGGTGACAGCCAAAGCCAGCTGTGGGCACAGATGGCCTAGAAACCAAACCAGGTCAGGCAGTCAGTGGGAAGCAGGAAAGTGGAGTTCAGAAGCAGTTTGGAGAACAAGCGAGGCCTGCCTGGCCAGATGTTCTAGGCAAGGTTCTGAACTCATTTCTTTCTCTTTGGAGGAGGAGGGTATGGGGGAGTGCAGTTACCAGGGATTTAACTCAGGGGTACTTGTCTACTGAGCCACATCCCCAGCCCTATTTTGTATTTTATTTAGAGACAGGATATCTCACTGAATTGCTTGGTGCCTCGCTGTTGCTGAGGCTGGCTTTGAATTTGCAATCCTCCTGCCTCAGCCTCCCGAACCACTGGGACTATAGGCATGTGACACTGTACCAGCCACTTGTTTCCTTCCTTACATGTGGGTAACATGGTGGGAGGTGTGAAAATGAAAAACTAGAATAAAGGACCAGGCACGGGGGCCTGACACTCAGCAAGCAATACCTCTCCTGTGAGAGGCAGGTCCTACCCAGACTGATGAGGTATTTTCTGCTACCTCTGCAGGTGGACTGCTTGGTGCTCCAGCTGCACCGGGTTGGGGAACAGCTGGAGAAGATGAATGGGCAGCGCATGGATGAGCTCTTTGTCCTGATCCGGGATGGCTTCCTGCTCCCAACAGGCCTCAGCTCCCTGGCCCAGCTGTTGCTGCTAGAGATCATTGAGTTCCGGGCGGCTGGCTGGAAGACCACGCCGGCTGCCCACAAGTATTACTACAGTGAGGTTTCTGACTAGGTTTGGCTCAGTGATTGCTCACTGCGGCACTGGTCTTTACTCCACCCTCCTCCTAAGATGGCAAGACAGCTGCCTCTCCCAAAGGCTTTCCCTTTCTAGACTTCCACATCTCCCCATTTATGCCATAGTCCTCTCATTCCCTTCCTCCACTCAGAGGTTGGCAGGGACACCAAACAGATCTGCTCCCTCGGCTCAAGACTGATCCCCTTTCCCCACAGCTCAATCAGCCTCTCTCTTACCACCTTCCCCCTGGGCCAGTCAGAGAAGGGCAGTTTCTAACCACTGCACCCTATAATAATTGGTGCAACATAACCTTGGTGCCTCAGTTTCCCCATATGTAAAATGGGTAATCACAGTCATCCATAGGATGTTTTGGGATTTTGAGGAGCACAGAGCACAGCTCGTACCAGAAACTGCTTTTTATACATTTTGTATAAAAACTACTGTGGAAACCAGCCTATATCCTCCAGCCAGTTTTAATGAATGGTAGTTCTTACATAATGTGTTATACTAGTTCAGATTAAAGATTTTCTAATAATCATTTCTAATACAAAAATTTCTTCCTTTCATAGTATCCGAAGGCCCACTCTGAGGTGAAGAGAAGCCTGGGCCCTGAGTTTCTTGGAGAAAATCAATAAGTTGACTTGTTCTCTCTTTACAAAGAGATGGGACAGGGAGAGCTATTCTAGCCCCAAAGGAAGAGGACTGATAGGCAACAAACATGCTGCTCCATTCTTCTCAAAAGGAACTATATCCTTAACCCACAGGTACTTTTCAAGAGAACAGTGGCTCATAAGGTTTTCTTGTTTTTAAATGGCAGAGGCCCTGGGCTCTGATGGGAACCTTTCCTCCCCCTCTACCACCAACGGTAGTGGGCCAGGGCTCGGTTGGCCTCAGCCATCTTGTGCATTTCGTGCTTCCTCTTGATTACGGGGCCTTGGTTGTGAAAGGCCTGCAACAGCTCATGTGACAGCTTCTCTGGCATCAATGTCCGCCGGTGCTTATTCTTTCGGCATTCAGTGATCATCCACTTCATGGCTAGGAAGCGGCGACGTCGGTCAGCTAGGGGCACAGGGACCTGGGTGAGGGGACAGGACAGGTAAGCGGGGACAGGACAGGTAAGCGGGTCCAGGGGCTTGCCATGGCTGGGGACTCCTGACTCCCAAAGCTGTAAGGAATGGCTCTGTCTTTTTTTCTTTGACCCTCATCTTTGGATAACCTCAGGGTAGCAGACATAAGTGGCTTTGCAAACCTCACCAAGTATTGGCCTTTTCCCCTCGAATGGAAGCTTTGCCACAAGCACCGATTGGAAAAAGCCCTGTTTTCTGGGTGACATAGCTACTCTGGGTGACCAAGTGTGCCTAAAAACATGACCCCGTGTACAAGAATCATTTGCAAGGCTCTATGTGTCAGATACTAAAGGTGCAGTGAGAAACTTCGTACCATAATGGAGTTTATACTGATAAGGCAAAAAAACCCTTCTAATACCAAAGATTATTACAACCTATGCTAGAGATACCAAGTTCAATACCACTAAAAGTGATGAACCATCAGTTAAGGGTCAAGCACTATGCTAGATACTGGCATATAACTTTGGGATATAAACGTAGTCCCTTCGCCAAAAGAAATATATGGTTTAGGACAAACAGGATGCTAAACAGAAGGTGGGAGGGATGGGCTACCAGAAGATGTCAATTAGCTACTTCTTTGCTCTCTTCCTTTTCTGTCTTCTGCTTATACAACTAAAGTGAGTAGATCCTGATGGTCTCTAGTCTAGAGAGCTAACAATCTCTTGGCCCAGCTCTGGGCCCTCCCACCATCTTTTTTTTTTTTTTTGGTGGGGGAGGGCCTTTACTAGGTATGGAACCCCCGGCTTTATGAATGCTAATAAGCAAGTGCTCTGCCACCGAGCTACACTCCTAGCCTTCCATTCCCATTGTTTTCCATGAGGGCAGCCCTGCTTTCTTGCTAGACCACTCACCTGGTAGAAATGGCCACCCCTGAGGATGGGTACCAGCCCAATTACAGGCTCACAGTTTTTTAGTGCTTGGCGGAAGATGGTGTAGGGGTTGCGTTCAATGGTTGCCTGTTCCTCTCCAGAAGCAGCATGGTACTTCTCAAACTGCTTCCTTTTCACAGATTCCAGAGTCTGCAAAGGGAGACAGTGGAAGAAGTTGCACCAGGCTTCATATAGAGTTGACCCATCCAGCTAGTACCTTGCCCTTTACTCCCACCACTCAGTTCTTTACAGTACAGTTGAACCCTCATCATGTACAATACAAAGTTCTTTTTTTTTAGTTCTCAGTGGACAAACATCTTTCTTTCTATGTGGTGCTGAGGATCGAACCCAGGCCACACGCATGCCAGGCGAGCGTGCTACCACTTGAGCCACATCCCCAGCCCCAATACAAAGTTCTTAAGTGCCTCCTTCTTTTGCTAGACTAGGACAGAAAGAGTGGGCAGAGATTTGTGACATGGCAGGGAATGGCAGTTGTTGACTCCTGCAGGACCTCATTGAAGCCCCAAACCCTATACATTACAGGGGAGTTAATTTTAAAAAGAGGCATATGAATAGATTCTAATATTTTTTGGGTACTGGGGATTGAACCCAAAGAGCTTAATTAGTGAGCCACAGCCCCATCTTTTTTTTTTAATGTTGAGACAGGGTCTGGCTAAATTGCTTAGAGTCTCCAACTCTCCTCCCTCAGCCTCCTGAGTTGTTGGGGTTAAAGGCATGTGTCATCATGCCTGGCCCATTCTTCTTGAAGAGAAAGATAACAGGAGGAACTCTTTACCTGGTTCATGAGAGATCTGGCCAGTACTTTGTTTCCTCCTTTCATCATCATGTTGGTGAATTTACTTCAAGGAGAAAAGCAACAGATTTAGCTTTCTAAGGCTATATTATGGTATCCTTGCTGCAGACCCTCCCTGGGATAATCCCAGTCCGTGGAACAAGAGTTTCCATCTAACCTGATCACCGGGTCTGCAAACACGGAGCTTGTTTTCGTCGCTGGGGCAGCTTTGATGAGCTGAGTTTTCTTGAGCTCCTGGTCATATTTCTCCTCCTCGGTGAGCTCTGCCATAGACTTGCGGTAATGTTCCTTGTCAATTAGGGGATCTCTGAATTCAGCACCATAGCGGCTCCACCTCACCTGGGTTTGCCTGGGAGCGGGAAGCAAAGGAGGCAGGCACAAGCTGACTCCACAAGTGAACAAGCTTGACTTAACAATAGGTATGTGTGCCAACCCGCCAACGAGGGTGAGCAGCACGGAAGCCGCGAGCTTTACCTGAACAGTAATAATTTTGGCTCTGTCCCAAGAGGTAGAAGGACCTTCCCCAAACAGGTCAGGAAAGCTTCCTCCTAGTCAAATGCTAACGGTAAGAACAAGCTCCCGCCAGCTCACCTCTCCACCCACCTCCAGGCATCTCAGCTCTAAACTCTTAACAGGGCTGCACTTCCAGCTCGAGTTACACCCCGACATAGCCCGACCTCCCAGCCAAGGGGCAGTCACTAAATCTTCAAGACTGGCCCAAGGTTACGCAGCGGGTTAAGAGGCTTGAACTTAGGTGTTTCGACCCCTAGAGCAGCGCTCTCTCCAAGGTCCAGCGTAGGTCGGCCTGTGGTTCCTTTCTTTCCCCGCAGGTCCCTCCGTGAAGACCCAGGTGGTGCTCCCAGCTGCCCGCTGCCCTCTTACCCTAGAAGCGGACTGACAGTACGCAGGAAGCCCGGCGCCAAGCCTGACCAGCCTAGCAGAGCCTTCAGTGCGGGGGCAGCCATCTTGGCCGGCCACGAGGACCCCACAAGGACTGTCCTCGGCGCGCCTGAGCTAGGGACGGGAGACGGGATAAAGACGTCAGAGGGTCCTAAAACTTCATTTTCATTGATCTGCACATTAGAATCTCTCACTCCAAGGGCCAAAAGGAAGAACCAAAAAGAAACACTCGCGGTCCCAATATCCGTCGCAGTCTGGCGGACCCTCAATAACAGCGCTCACTCCTCTCAGGCCCCCATGCAGGCCCCGCCCTGGTTCAGCTCGTACGGACTCTCGCGAGGGTTGGGGCCGCGGGGTCGACCCGGGCGGCTGCAATATGGCGGAGGCGGAAGGGGAGAGCCTGGAGTCTTGGCTGAGTGAGTAACCGCGGCCGCTTCTGCGTGTCCTCGAGCCGCCGAGCGGTCCCTCTCCTCACCCCGCGTCCCCTCCCGGGCTCCGCGACGGCGCCGCTTGGCGGCTTGCGCCCGGGCGACCCCTTGGCAAGCATCCGGCGATCACGCCCCTTCGCGAGCAGAGGGCCCCTCTCTGCAGCGCGTCCTCCCGCTCCCGCGCGAGGCGGCCGTAGCTTTGGGTCCTGTCGTGGCCCGACAGGCCTGGGGAGAGTGGCAAGGAAGTTCTCAGGGCTGACAGTCATTGGCGCTTTGGAGCTGATGGTAGGGCCGCTCCCGAGTGTGACTCCGGAATTCCTGCACCCCAGTCCCCGAGGAAGGGAAAAAGCTCCGTATTTGGGCTGAAGCTCGGGGGAGAGGTGGGTGCTGCCACCGGTACACACGCCTGGCAGCTTCAAAATCTTGACCATGGAAAACTGACAGCTTTGCTCAGGCAGAAAGCTTGAAGTGCTAATAATTTTCCAAAGAGCGACGATAGACAACTGGTTTAAGTCGACGTTGGGACTCCCTCACACGCACACACTTGATCTTCGCGACATAACACACTCTGAGTAAAGCGAAGAAGCAGTTGGAAGCTGTAACCATAAGCGATGTATTGCTGTAATTGTTAATTCACATTACTCTGAAAGAATGGGGGTTAACCTTAGCAGGCAGTATTTTGCTAAAGGGTTAATATGTGAACTTTCCTAAGGGCTAGACCCTCTGGGGGTCTCTTTCAGTAGAACAGATACTGGACAGGATAAGACAGAAAGATGTGGACATCCTGCCTTGTGCAGTATGCCTTACTGAGTAGTCTCCAAGTTCTTGAGGGTGATGGCTGTTGCCTGGAATTGCCTGACCCTTCTTAAGAAACCCATTTCAAGAGGTAGAACCTAGGCTTTAACAGAAGCACATTCCAAAAGGGAGAAAAGTAAAATTACATTTGCAAAGCCTGCTGTTGAAGGTAGGTCACAAAGTCTTTAGTATATGTGGAACTAACTATTCTCCATGGAGATCAAAATGCTATAAAGATATTCATTGAAATTGTTTACAAGTATCCTAGCAAAGAAGGTTATTCTGTCAAAAGTTTCTCAAAAAGATAACACCTTGACTGCAATCAAACTACCTGCCTAGAATCATATGTAGAATTTCACAGTGGAATTGGTTTGATTCAGATTTGGGGAGGGGGGGCATTTGGGAATTTGATTGGCAATGATCCAGAAAGGAGATAGAATTTAAGCCAGGTCTTAAAGATTCAGAAAAATTGGCTAAGAAAACGCTGGATATTCTGAGTGCGTAGTGCACTCAGGAGGCTGAGGCAGGAGGATCACATGTTTGAAACCAACCTGAACTACTTACAGAGACCCTGTCTCATTAAACAGAAGAAAAAGAACTGGGTATGGTGACACACACCTGTAATCTCAGCACCTCAGGAGGCTGAGGCAGGAGAATTGAAAGTCTGAGGCTCAAGAACTTAATGAAAAGGCCCTAAACAACTTAGACCCTGTCTTGATATTTTAAAAAAAGGACTGGGGATGTAGCTCAGTGGTAGGACACCTCTAGCTTCAATCCCCAGTACCAAAAGAAAGAAAAGGTGTGTGGGGGGGAAACCACTGCATGGTGAAATGGAGGGAGCCAGTCTGTTTGTGGGCACAGAGAGAGCTGGAGTCACCCAGCACTGAACACAGTAATGTAGGTGTTTGGCTAGCTCAGGCAATAAGCTCTTAGAGGGTCTGGT